ACCTTAATGGTGACTTTTTACTTTAAAACAAAATACCCATAAACATGCATTTAAAAAATAAGAATTAAACTTTCTTGGGTAATTGTGAACCTCTGATTCGTCTATTCTATACCCTCCTTTTCAATAATTAAAAATAATTTACAGATAATTAAAAAAACTCATATTGCACATGGTTGGTGCATTTTAGGCTTAATGCAGGTCATGTGCATGTCTGAGATCTAGGCTTTGATTATCTTTTGAGCCGACCATTAGAAACTTTTACCGTCGAATTAATATTGAAGATAACAGTAATTAGCTTGTTTGGTTTGATTTTTCAAGATTTATTTTTTTATTTTTTATTTTTTTATTGATTTTTTTTTAATATTCTAAGTAATTTTTTTAAAATTTTTTTAGATACACTTAACAAGTATAATATTTGTGAAAAAATCTTTAAAAAATTCACTAAATACAAAAAATACGACAATTTAGTACATTTTTCGTATTCTTGTGTATTTAGTAATTTTTTAAAATATTTTTTATATAAATATTTTACTTTTTAGATACATCTAAGTAAGGAGCATTTAAAAAAGTAAAAAAATTATTTAAAATTCTTAAAAATATTTACTAAAAACAAAAAAATTCGAAAAACAAAAATCTATATTTTTAGGAAAATAAAATTCAGAAAATTGAAACCAAATATAGTGAATATTATTCTGCATAATTATATTGGCTAATAAAATATTATAAATAAAATTAAGTAGATATCTTCTGCTTCCAATTAACTCAATCATGTAATTTTCACTATCGCAATTTGAGAATGCTCGCTGATTGATACAATTACGTGGTGTCATCGTTGTTATGAGTGTTTCATAGTTTACCCAATTTGTACTTATGACTCATTAGTGACTCTTTCGACTCGATTCTAATTTAGTTATTGTTGTATTTGAATCTTAATATATATTATGAGTTATTTCAGAAATTAGAGTTATGAGATTAAAATAAATTCTCGTTTTTGTAATTTCTCCCTCCTTTAATAGTGGCACCCTCGGTTGATATTTATCCATGCACTTAGATTTATAATCAAATCGCATATATTTTTATATTTTTTTGTGATTATTTTATGTTACTTTTATCGTATTCGTTTACTCCGTTATATATATAACAATAATTATATCTAATATTTACTCAAGTAAATCAATGGTTTGGATTGGTCACAAGTGGGCCTTGTTTCAGCAAAAGTAGAAGGCGAACTGTGGATTAAATAGTTTATTTTTTATTTTATTTTATTAGTTTTTTTACACAGATGGTGACTTGGTGTTCTCACTGAAGCAAATAAAGAAATTGGAGAGAACATAAAAAGATGGAGCTCTAGTTGGACACACATGGTTCTTGTAACTTTTTGGTGTTTTTGTTACTTTTTATCTATCAACTCACTCACTGTGGTCATAGTATTTGTGGGGAAATGGGTAAAAGATTCCTATTCAAAATGCATATATAAATATGTGTGTTTTTAATGTATTTAATTATAGAATTTTCCATTTAATTTCATCCTCACAGCCTTATTATATTGGGTTGTTGACTGATTTTCTACTCTTTATAGTTAGCCTAACTAAACCATATGATTTAAGGTTAACAAATCACCTTTTTTGATTTTCATTGGACTAGTGGATTGGACTGTTCAATTTAGATGGATAGTCTCACAACACTTGTAGACTTTGTCCGTTATAAAACTAATCTTACTTTATTTCTAAAATCATGCAGAAACAATATATTTATAAAATTCAAATCTTAAACGAGACTCAATCTCAATTAATTGTTAAAGTTGTGAGAAAGCAAAATACTTATAAAATTTAAATCTTAAACTCATGAAATCATATTATTTCAACTAGATTTAGTATATAAAAAGAAAAAAAAAAAAAACTTTAGTTACTCTTATATTATAAAAAAATATAATTCAATCACGAATTGACAGAGATAAGAAAGGAAGTGACAATGATAAGGATAATATGTGGTGGCGAGGGAAGAGAGTAGAGCGAGAAAGAGTTGAGGAAGTTTGGGCAAATCAATCAAAGGGGAAGAAGGGAAAGAAATTATTTGGAGGTGGGTAAATCAAAATGATGGAGCAAACAAAACAAAACATTCAACAACAGTTGAGGGATTAAGTAACATTATATATCTCGAATTTTTACTCATAATTTTATTTAAAAATATCAATGTGTCATCTTAATTTATTTTATATATAAATTTCACAATCTATTAATTATATGTCAATTACACTTTTTCATTCTAAATAAAATTTTGATAAATTTTCTGTATAAATAATTTGACTGGCAGATTTGTTTGAGATTACTAGGGTAAAATGATAGCAAGATATTGTAAGAAAATTGGGATGGCCAAAAAAGCATCACATCAGATCTTTGGGCCATGAGGAATTGTCTAAAAAAGACACAAAAATGTGTTGCTTTTTATTTTTATTTTTATTTTTTTAATTTTTGAATTTACAAAAAAAAAGAGACTAAAATATTTATATAAAAAAACTAGAAAACAAATTTTGTTAATCAAATCAAACAAAGCATTCATTTTTACGCAATTTCATTAATATGGGTTTTTATTCTAGATATCTCCTAAACCACTCATACATAATGAAAATTGAAAAATTTGAGCCATAAAATATCGTTTCACATGTAAAGAGGATGATACAAAGTACAAACTACTGTTCAAAAATTAAAATTGGGAAAGGTACATGGTTAGAATTTCGACACACTCATTCTCATTTTTCTTAATTGTGATAAAAGAATATTGGCTTCTAAAACTCTACATAGATTTAGATGTGCTAATAATCCGATCATAAGAGATATGAAACCTAAACCAATTACATTGACCCAAACAAATAAACAAAGTATGCAAATGGGTCCGCAAAGGATGGCAATGACCCCACAAAGTTATCAAATCCCAATTTGGATTTCAATTTTAGAAGGGAAAAAAAAAAGAGTATGAAATTCTCCATCTATTCTTTGAAATATTCACATTTACTAGATTATTGATAATCTCAAAATATAATAATTTCAATTTATGATTACTGTATTCAATGTTTTGAGACATGAGAAAAAAAACATTTGAGAACAAAAATTTTAGAAATTTTTTGACCGTAAAAAGAATAAGAAGATAAGTGGTGTTTGGATGAGTGGAAAATGGCTTAAACAGGGGAGACCTTGTTGGATGGGAAAGTGAGGCCACCATCCATCACAATTTGGTGTCAATTCAAACCAAGGAAGATATGACGGAAAGCCATTAAAAAGCTAAGGGCTCTTATTGTGCAGAGATAAGTCACAAATGAGGCAAAGCAACATGAGAATTTTGACTTTAATGCCACAATGAGACAAACCAATCTTCACACCCAATTAATATGTATTGACTACTGAATCCATTTTGGATTTTCAATCTTCATTGTCTCCACTAGACCACAATCCCATTTGATGTGCATATATATTCTACCAAATTATCTTAAAAAAGAAAAAAAAGAAGTGATATACATAAATTTAAACTTGCAAGCAATGTAGTTGTGTGTTTTGTTTTTGTTTTCTTTCTGAAGAGTGGGGGAGGTACAATCTCATCATAGGTGTGATGGGTGAATAACATATTTTTCATGTGCTCCCTTGTTATATATAAAATATTGTAATGGTCAACACTAAATAGACATCATGAGGTGGAGCTTGAAACAAATTCTCAAGATGCAGTGAATCTCATTGAAAATTCAGACTCCAATCATCCTGATCACAATCTATATTGGGATGCAAACTCAGTTATATTGCTCGGGAGATAAATGAATGTGTAGATCAAATATTTAGGGAGGCCATTCAAAGAGACGCGGAGTTGAAAATAGTGGAGGTATAGTCATCTTGCTTGAAACAGCTTCTTATTCAAAGGACTCCTGATTGGAGAGTTTTTTAATTTGTTCCTTGGCTTAGGCCTCCATCTTACCCCTCCAAAAAAAAAAAAAAAAAAAAAAAAAAGGCCCCAAAAAAAAAAAAAAAAAAGTTTAGTTATAAAAAGTTAAATCCCCCTGACCTCCTAATGAGACATACGGACTCATTATAAATTCCTCTGTAAATTTAAAATTCAAAGACAGTTCAAGAGTCTACGAGTGGATACATAACCAGAAAACTTGCATAGCAGTAAACATTCTCATAAGCACAGCAAAAAAAAAAAATTCACTGTGAGAACATTTTTCTGAGTGTTTTTACTGTTGGTTTCAACATGGAAATGTCCAGGATGCATAACCAGACAACTTGCATAGCAGGAAACCTTCCAGAGAACATTTCTGGAGGGAAAAAGCACAAACAGTCCTCACAACAGGTGAATCCTATTCTCAGACACTCATCACTCGAGTTCATATTGAAAGAACCCCAGTGGTTTCTTGCGTGCAACCCCTTTTTGCTGCAGTCTTCAAAAATACTTCGTTCCAAGCCAAAACCATGTTTCAATAGATGGCCATCACAAGTGATTACTGTAACCAAAAAAATAAAAATAAAAAAATTGAAAACTTATTTGAAAGGCTAGATGAGAACTCTGATATTATGATGAATAATGTGTGTGTGTGAGAGAGACAGAGACAGAGACAGAGATCCTCTGCTCCCAGACAGACAGAGATCATCTGCTGCCAACAATTACAAGGCTCTACACAAGCAAATCAACTATCCTAATTGTTCTCAAGTCGACCTTAGCTCTTCAAAAGTTGCAAAAATGCAGAATCCATTATTTCCAGGACAAGATAAAAAAGAGCAAATAAGACACCAAACAAACAAAAAATCCAAAATAGAAAATCCTCACAATTGTTTTCACTTCGGAATTGCTAATAAAAAAAAGAGATGGCAACCACATAGCTAAGTTATTCGATTCTCAAAACTAATCCTCATGACTAATACATTCACAATTTCCACAAAAAAATTGAAAATTACCCAATAAGAGAGGTATAGGAAGCTCAGACAAGCACACTAGACATATTTAGGGTCAACTCTGTGAACCAACCTTGCACTTTCTAAGCAGTGAAATAAAGTTTGTGTCGTTTTCTTTGGTGTACACTTCACATATCTGAGACAGACCAAAGATATGCTTCTCTTTCCATAGCATGTTTCTCGTTCGTCCTTGTAAACATTTCCTTTTCAAACCCTACAAAGCGCAGAACAACAGAGGATAAATAATTTTGACAAATAGAAATACAATACAAGTCCATATAGTTCATAATTTGCTTTAACTATTCTAATTTCAATAAAGAATGATGAGAATCAGCTCACGACAAATAAAATAAAATAATTCTCTGTTTGTTTCGCTGGAAATCTGGAAAATGAGTTTCTCATTTTCTAGCATCTGGTACGACAGAAAACAGAATTCACTAATAGTTGAGTTGAAAATTTTAAAATTTAGTTGAAAACAAACAACATACAAGAAATAAAAGAAATTCACTCATTTTCTTACATAAGATTGTTTTAGCCAAACAAAGCAGCAATAGTTAAACAAGTATAGAAATCATCTCAGGTCTCCAATCTCTCATTTTTCCCATCCACTTATCTCCTCAAGGTTTGTAAGATGTATTTAAAGCTTACATGGAGTGCTGGATAGCTTCATGAGCTGTAGCTGAAGGCAAAAAATCATTAACTGCAACCTCTTTGTTCTCATTCTTCTTGTCTAAATTAATTGTCAAGAAAAATATTCCGTCTCCATCTTAGTTTCCATAAATATCAAATACCTAGAAAGAAAGGTGCAAAGGATACAGTCTTCAAAAAAGCGACGAATCACAGCTAGTCGATGAGGAGGAAGCTCTTTGATGTCAGTGTATTCAGACAACAAAAGCAATCAATTTGGTCTACCATTCACAATATCAGAATTAGACAGTTAACGAGCAACATTGGAATAAAACAGCAATAGTGAATTTGATTCATAATTAATTTTCTCTGTTAAATGTCAATGGCGAAGGCAGAGATAATCATGGAACCTAAAACATACTGTTACATTTTAACCAGTTATAAAGGCCATGTTCACCCAATCAGATAATATGAGGAAAGAAAAAAAAATGTTTTAATTGTGCTCAATGAGGCATGTCGTAATGGGCCTGGTAAAGCCAACCAATATTCTAGAATATTATGACATTGGGAGAAATGGATAGAGCACTTTCCTTTATATTGAACAGTAAATACTAAAGCCTTGTGAACTTGGTAGATAGCAACAAAATGTGAAGAATGGAGTTATGTATATCTAAAAAGACAAGTACAAGAAAGGTATAACACTAGCAGAAACATAAATGTGCATAGAAAGACAAGTACAAGAAAGGTATAACACTAGCAGAAGATAAATAGAAGATACATTTCCTCTTTTATTAAAGCATAGAGCAATATGAATTGATTAAATGAAGCCATTTACGAGATTTGTGGCTAGCCTAAAAAATGTGCAATAAAAGAAGAAATATAGTATAAAAGTACAATAAAACCTTTAACACACAGAATGACGCCACATCCCAATTTCATAACCAAAGCATACGTGCATATATTTTTCCTTTAATATGATACAATGTGTAGATAGAACACAAGAAGAACAGCAGTCAAAGTGTAGTTTAATACACCCTTGCACTCAATTGCCGTCGATTATCTTGCTTTACCATCTCCATTAGTGCTGTTTCCAACTCCGCAGCTCTGGAAAAGAACAAGAACCACTCTTATGGATTTACTGTAGCTTTCATGAGGCACATTAAGAAAATTAATACTATTTACGCCCCAGAGCAAAACAGATGATCATCTAATAAGAAGTAATTTTGTATTTAAAGATTGACTACCTTCCATGAGAAATTAATGCCCTCACAAAAGCATACACATGGATATATGACTGCTAATGTTAAATGATAACATAGATTATTAGCACAAAACAGGTTAATTAAACAATTTGCTCTAATGAAGGAACCCTTGAGAACTTCAACACATACATAGACAACACAAAAGCAACTGGACACATTAATCATGCAATGCATACCAGGTTTCTAATGACACTGGGTTGATCACCTTGCCTAATTAACTACTCATGTATTTGTTTATCTTATCATAATCACCGTCTTATCTTCAACCTAATAATATGGGCCTAACTGGAAGCATGAAAAATTCTCAGAAAGATGCAGATACTAGACACCGCACAACAAGTACTAACCTTGATGTACCAGATCTCTTCTCCTCCAGCAACCTGCACAACTCGACCTTCAACCAAACCACCTGCACATGAGCCGTTAATGAGCGAAACTTGAAAAGAGCTGAACATGAATTACTTATATTCATCGTGTGATTACAAGTAATATGCCATTGTTTACATTTATAAGTTTTGCAATTATTGAACTAGAAATCTGTCACGACCCAAACCCGGCCCTATGGGTTTAGCACCGTAACCGGCCAGTAATCCGAGATTACCGAAGGCCTGCTTAACAGTAATACAGTAAAACAGAGTACAGGGCCTGGCGGAAGCCAATACAGTAAATAAATAATGTCCATTGAGCTGTGACAGTCTGTATGCCAAAAAGATTTTTCATGCATTCATACATAAACAGTACAGAACAGTATGTACAATATTATTTTGAATAAGATAGTTGATTAACTATTGACATATAATATTAGTTAGGGTATGATGAAATGTAGCACTACATAATAGATTCTTCAACTTTAAGATTGTGCTCCTTTCTATCTAAAGAAGCATAATCCAATCACTTTGAGCCGCATATCAATGGCACATTAGAATCATTTCAATAAATCTAATAAGACAAAAAATAATTATAGAATCAAATAAAAAAAAAAGGTTTAAAATAGATTCAACCAATAAATCTTGTTTATCAATATATTTTTTATGTTTAATTTTTGTTTTCTTAACATTACTAGAATCATAGAGATGCTTAGTATCATCTCATTTAGAAAAGACACTTTAGCAATCACAATGCGTTTATATAATAATCAAACATTTTTCCTTTTAGTTACATAAATATAACATAAAAAGCAAACCTAGGTATACAGATGTGTGGTCCATTGTAATTGGGTCTTGATCAAATGCCATTAATGGTGTATTTGGTTGGGGGATTTGGAGAGGGATTTGGAAAGGGAAAGGGAAAAGGCGTGTGAAACTATGTGAAATATAGGCATGATTTATTCACATTTCACCTACCTTTTTCATTTCCCTTTCCATTTCCCTCTCCAAATCCCCCAACCAAACACAACATTCCAAATCCCCCAACCAAACACAACATTCCAAATCCCCCAACCAAACACAACATTCCAAATCCCCCAACCAAACACAACATTCCAAATCCCCCAACCAAACACAACATTCCAAATCCCCCAACCAAACACAACATTCCAAATCCCCCAACCAAACACAACATAAAAGTAGGTTCTATGTAAGAAAGAACAACAAGGTTTAGTATTTAAATATGATTATGGAGAATGTTGCAAGAAGCACAGTCAAGGAGAGAGAAAACATAAAAAAGATTACATGATCTTTGAAAGAGAAAGATTTATATATCTTATTTATCATTATAGTTGTATGTATCTATGATCTGTCCATACTTTCTGAAGCATACCAAACCCCCCCAACCCAAACCATCAAGCTCTATGGCATAGTGGCTTCAACACTTGGTTATATATGTTATATAATATAGTATATCTATATGTATGTATATGTAAATGAGAATGAATTCTCTCCAATTAGGTATTCTAATGTCTAATTGGAAAAGAAATTATGTTAAGTTTTAATGGGTTCATCTTGAGACCTACTTCGTTGATTTGAACCATCACTTATATATATATATATATATATATGTTTTTGTCACAATCTTTCAAGTTCGAAGTTGTTAAAAGATGGTCTCTAGGCAAGGCATGTGGTTGGAAAAATCTGAAGTTTCAAGAATTTCATCATGGTCAAATGATGGACTTAGTTATGTGGTTAGTATTTGTGCGGAAGTTCAAGCTAACTATGTAAGACTTTTTTCTTCTTTTTTTTCCTTACTTATATATGTAATTGAATCACCTAGAAGAATATCAAATAACAAAGAATAATTACTGTGGAGAATTTCTCAAATAATTTGGGTTGGTTTGGAAAATAGGTTTGTTTTTTGGCTATTTTAACGTGAGATTAAAAAGTCTTGTTTGGAAAGGATTTTTTTGACTTTTTGTAAGAGAAATAATATAATAATTATAGATTTGATATAATATTTTGTCTTATTAAATAAAAAAATTTATTTTATTTTAGCCAAAAAAAGTCCCAATCTCAACTTCCCAAACAAAGGCAATGAAAACCTAGATAAAAGGTTAAATTGTTAAGTGAGAAGGAGACGGCAGTGCTCAAAATAGGGTTTTCAAAATAAAAATAAAAGAGAGATAGAAGAGGGTGTGAAGAGAGACAGGGAAGAGGGTGTGAACAGAGACAGGATTTGGAGGCGTTTTTTAAGCGTCTTCTATTTACGAAACGGTGTCGTTTTACCTAACAAAAAAGGCGACGTTTAAAAAACGCCGTTAATTATCAAAAAAAGTGACGTTTAACTAAACGTCGTTAATTAAACGCCGTTAAATCTTCATTTTCCTGTAGTGATTGTATTAAATATATTTCCTTATTATTTCTCTCCAGTAAATCATATATGAATATTTGGAAGAGGATTTCCTCCGGTTCAAAATCTGGACTGGAGGGGTTGTTTGGACCTATGAGGTCCACCACGGGCTCGTTTTGATAATTCGAACCGTTTATTTTATCTGACATTTTGTGTATTTCATTCGTAAAAAAAATTAAATTGATCTAATAACTGTAACTTGATCAATTTATTTTGTAACCAAAAAAAATGTATGGTTTATTTTTAAAAACACAATTATCGTTTATTTTTTTAATAAAAATCACGGTAAATTGAAAAAGTTACCGTTAACGGATATTCCTAATTTTTTGTGAATAAAATACATAAAATGTCCAATAAAATGAACTGTTTGAATTATTAAAATGGAACTCGTGATAAGTCCACGGGTCCAAACATACCATTTTAATCCAAATTTTAGACTGAAAAGAATCCCTGTCCATGAATATTAAACATAAAAAAAAGAAAATGATATATAAATACACTTTCTAGACCCATTTTCTAAATCTAATGTGTAAGTGATGTGATTAATTGATAATTAAAAAATATATAAAAGAGTATTATCTTTAATATTTAATTAATTGTCACATTGTAAAAAAAAAACCACTAATTTGAGAAGCGGCTGTACGGGTTCATGCATGATGCGCCACTTTTGTTCCTTAATGGATCATAAGCGTTTTCAATCATTCCTCAAAAGTCAAAAAAGCAAAATTGTTAGACACTCCAACCTATAAAGTGCATTATATTTTCTCTTAATGTGCCTTAATTTTAGGCTAGATATTACAAAAAAAATTAAATTAAATTAAATTTTCCTTTCATTTATTTTGTGCACTGTTTGTGAAGTATATGCACCATATTGTGCTGAAAATTATTCAGTGTTTGTGCATTCCATTTAATAAACTAAAAAACCTAAATCACCAATCCTGCTTTTCTCATTTATGAATGTTAATTATTGCAAAATATATTAGCATCTATACATTTAGTTAAACTTTTTTGATAAAAAAAAATTACCCACGTAAAAAAGACACAAAAGAGAAAATAATGCAATTCATGCACCTAGCCCAACAAATTGAAATGATTGATTTTCTTTCTCTTTTTCCTTTTTTCCAACTTATCATGTTGGCAAAAAGCTAAAATAGTGCTTTTTATTAGTTGCAAATAAAGTGCAAAGACAACCAACTAGGCTAGTTGATTTGTCACTCACTACAAAAAAAAATAAAATAAAATAAAATAAAATAAAGTTTTAGAATTTAATATTTAAGGATAAAATTATTTTTGGGTATTAAATATTTTTGTTGTCAAAAGTGTCGCTATTATAGTTTTAGCAACGAAAATTAGACATTAGTAATGAATTATTATCTTTTAAGACCAAATTTTTTGTCTCA